ATTGGGAAAACATCATCATGATTCTATTTCAATGTTAAAACTGAATTCCTCTCCAGTGGCGACACACATGATTTTATTTCAATTTTAGAACTAAATTTCTCTCCAGTAGATTCACACTGAGACTACTCACAGTGTTGTAGTAGTCTCAGATTCACACATAATTTTTGGAATTGTTAAAAAGAAGTTTCACGTTTTGTGGGTTTCATTCAAACTTTAACAATTTTTTTTAGCCTATAGAAAATTTAACAAATTTTGTTTTGGAAAATGTTGCATTAGACACAATTAACAAAGGAAAAGAAAGAAGAAAAGAAAAGTCTTGGTCCCACCCCAAATCACCTGCGTGAAGGCCATGATGGCATGATTTTACGTCAGCGAGTTGATGAGCTTGCTTCCGGTTATTGCGATAGGATCATATCTTCAGTGGTTTTTCTAGTTCTATATTTGTTCGTTATGTTATGTAATTTTAGGACTTCGGTGTTGATTGCAAATCTCTGATATAGTCTCTGCAAAATGTAGTCACAGTTTTTAGACTTGGATTAAGAGCATGAGATATTGTAGGACACCTGTGTATTGTTGGAAACTATATGTCGACTTCTCAGTAACAGATAGAAAACTCAGGGTAAACATTCATAGAACCGAGACAAGGGGCAGTGGCAAATATTTCATGTATATTTTGAACACAAAGAGGATTACCCCGGTACCCTTTGCCAAAAATAATCTTCTTTTTCTTCTATGTGCCAACGGACTTTATGTTATGAATTGTAGTTTCACTTTCCATATTCGGTATTTATTGTAATTTAAGCACCACGTAGTAAAAATCACGTGATTCAGGAATATAGTATCTTGGAGTTAGACTATTTCTTTCTTTTCGGGCGGGGACTCCAAGCAATCAACATGCATGTGTATAACGGCACTGTAGATTTTCTTATTAAATAATAAAGTTGCCGGTCCGGTACATGAATAGATCGGTTAGAAATCAAAGTTTTAATTTTAATTAGATTAGAGGGTTGAAAATAGAGAGCACAAAAAAAGGGGGGGTGGGGGTGTTCCACAGGGAATATTTCCTTCTTATGAACTCTACATCTGAAAGGTTTAATTTTTTTTTTATTTAATTGAAATAGAGAAAAACAAATGTAAGACAAATTGTGAATGGTCTTTCTTCCTTTCTCCCATGCCAAGAAATTGCCTCCGTTGAAATTTTGCAAACATCCCATAGAGCAAATTACATGGATGATTAATTTTGACCATTTGGTATATGTCTGTGTTTTAAGTGAGACGTACACGCGGGTCATAAATTAATTTATTGAATGAAATCAAATCTTTAACTACTAATGGATGCCGTAGGAGGTCGACCGGAATTTTTAGCGAGGATTTCTTGGCATGTCTAGTTATGTGTTATGTTTGGCCAAGTATACTGTCAATTAAATTCTTAATTTATTTCATAAGCCCTCCAGCTTTCCGGACTTGCTTAACCCAGAGACATATATACATGTCTACTTTATGGTATTAATTGAGGCAAATGGATTTCATCAGGTTGACATTTTTTCCCGATCTTCAATATAAATGTAACAAAAAACAACAATACTAAAAGTGGAAATAAAATTATCATACAGTTTTTGCTGATTTGATATATTTTGTCAAATCGAAACATATATTTACAGATCAAATAAAATACGTTAAAATAAGTCTGGATATGCAGTTTTCACGGGATTTTCTTTTACTATTGGCCATAATTCCGTGAAAAGTTGGCATCCGAAACCAAACGCAAATTTATCAAATGAAAAAACTAGCTCAGTCTCAACATAAAAGGATCTGTTGGATTCCAGAATTGCGGAAGCACTAAACAACGGAATGACGGAAAACGTATCTTAAATTAATAAACAACAAAACAAGGCTAAGGTCAGCTGAATCGTTTCATGTGCTGATATGGCTCTAGGTGTGGTATGGTTGCCAAGGAGACAGCTTTCCGATAAAATTCTTAAAACAATGATGTTAACAGGTCGCTGTGTGATCTTCAACAAAGACCGAAAAATCGTACCTTAAAATCATGACGCTATAAAGGATCATAAAGTCTCTGGATGACAAAATGTAAATCAATTCAAAAAATAACCCAACAGCCAGAATCATACTTAAAAATCAAGAAAAAAAGTTACTGCAGCCTGAATCATACTAAAACAATCAATAAAAACAAATTACTATAGAGAGCAAATAACGACAATCCCTGGATTACAAGTCTTGGCGTAGGACAGGCACTTAAAGAACTTTTTAATCAAATATAATTGATATTGATTCTATATCATAAATAAATTATATATATTTGGTAAATAAACAATTCTAGATAAAAAGAAAACAAAACTATAAGGTGCAATACTTGTAGATTTTTAAAATAATTGTAAATTTTTCGTAGATCACCTGTCCCAAAGGGCAAATGTGAGTTGCCGTCCGTCTTCCTTTAGCTTTTACAAACATATTCTACCGGTCCTCTGGAACTGAATTGGAAACAAACATGGCCACAATCATTATTGGGGTATCTGGCTTGAAAGTGTGTCCGTTGGTGCCACTTGACAACCATCATTGTCACTAGCGCTTCAAATAAAATATTAGCGATTAAATGGAAACTGAAACTAATGCATAACGAGAAAGGTAAATATGCTAGATATACTTAATGGAGGTGTGAAGAGATGATTGAAGCCACAAACTTTCTCCTTGACACTATTTATTTACGTTTCGGCAATAAAGTTTATCGACAGATTGTAGGCACTCCTATGGGCACCAATCGTGCCCCTTTAATAGTAGACTTGTTCCTGTACTGTTTTGACCAAACTCAGTAAAATCTTGTCTTAATTCCATGTAATTGGTAAATTTAATAACACTTACCGTTATCTTGATGATACTTTTTCGCTAAATACTCAAGAATTCTCTAAAAATACTGCCGAAATTTACCCAAAGGAACTTAATTACTTTAAATAAATCAAATATTAACATCAATAACTGTCCTTTCCTAGATTTAGATATTTCAGTTTTACACGAGAAACTCTACACACAATTTTACGACAAAAGGGACGATTTTACTTTCCGTATTGTTAATTTTCCTTTTTTGGACGGTGATGTTCCTTTGGCACCATCTTACGGTGTTTATATATATCAACTCGTTCGCTATGCCCGTGTCTGTAGTGAGATTGGATTTCAATGAGCATAATCTATGTATTACAGGTATTTTATTAAGTCAGGAATTTCGTTACCACTAATTACTTAAAACCTTTACTGAATCCTTCCATAGTTACAAAGATTTGGTTTGGAAGATTGGCTGTACCTGTAGAAAAACTATTTCAAACGGAATAGCACATCCTAATTTTTACGGTGATGCTGTTTACCCGCGAGCACGGAAATTTAGATACGATCAGGGTAAACTTATTAATCCTTTAAAAAAACTTATACTAAAAGGTTATCAATTTTCAACACTAATTAGATCTTTAACTATTGTTTTTGTTGGTATAAATATTGATTTTGCTTGTGATCAGTAAATCAAAACCATACTAAAGATTATTATTATACATATGTCACATTCACGGTGCTACAATCTCTTGATATCTACATTTTGGTATTGCACATAGTCATGTTTTTCTCTGATTGTTAATGACTTCCGTACACTAAATCCATTGGATGTTGGATATGTACTGATGGATATTTTTTATAGTTATTATTGGCTTTGAACTAGCTGTCAGTAACTGCGTGTACTCTCGGGTCTTTACTTTGTATTTTTGTTGTGGAGGAAGTATAAATACCCTGCCATGTTCGGTCTGTGTTTTTGTTTGGCGTTTTTCTGCTTTGTTTCGATCTGATGAGCTAAGCCTTTTCCAACTGATTTTTTTAGTTTGTTCTTATGTTGTACTGTTACATCACTGTCCCTAGTTAGGAGGAGGGTTGTTGCCTTCAAACCCCGCCACATGCTATATGTGCCTATCCCAAGTCAGGAGCCTGTAGTTGAGTGGTTGTCGTTCTTTGGCAAATTGCTGGTTTTCATATATTCGTTTTTCTTTTATTGCTTTGCAAAGCTTGTCCTTGTGTTATGTTGTTACACCACTCTCCCAGGTTAGGGGAGGGTTTGCGCCTTCAAACTTGTTTAACCCCGCCACATTTCAATGTGCCTGTCCCAAGTCAGAAGCCTGTAGTTCAGTGGTTTCCGTTTGTTCATGTCTGTCATATTTGTTTTCGTAAATTGTTTTATTATGAATAAGGCCGTTAGTTTTCTCAATTGAATTGTTTCATATTTTTCATGTCGGGGACTTTTATAGCTGATAATACGGTTGGGGTTTTTCATTGTTGAACGTACGGTTGCCTAGACTTTCTTACATCCACTTCATTTGAATTTTGGTGGATAGTTGTCTCATTGGTAATCATTCCACACCTCGTTATTTTTTTATAATATCTTGAAAACCGTTATAAATCATGAGAGAAGATCATGAAAATCTAGCATGAGCAAAATTAAGATCAACCTAAAGTTCGTGTTTTGGTTGTTATCTTGAAACTATTATAAATAGAAAGAAAATTAAAATTGCAAAAATGACCCAGCAAGCCGAAAAGATATACAAATAAGTTAGATAGCCGATATGTCAGTCGACTCCCTAGTATATAGGAGTTATTTTCCGTTTAAAGACAAATTTAATCTATTTGTTCTTTTCCATCTATAATAATGAAAACAATAATTGATAGAGAGAAATCTTAAACATCAAAATTGATCAGAAAAACAAGATCTACAAAATAATTACATGGACCTTCTTTCTTTCCTTCTTTTGCTTCCATTAGAACACCCCATATTGGGTAAAACAAAAATTTTTAAAAGAACACATTTTAGTCTAAATATTAAAATATGATCAAATGTGCAGTTTGTGCAAAGATGAAAATAAAACATAAGGGGGCCATTGGCTTTCATTATTTGATATTTTTATAGATGGGTTTAAGATAGATTTCATATACGGAGTTTCACCAACTTGACTCTGCAATTAGACAATTCGGCGGGTAGTTGATCAACAAAATCAAAACAAAATGGATTGTATAGATTTAGAGAGGGTATTATAGCATGTTTGTTACCAATGTCATTTTATTTGCATTTTTTATACCCATGAAAATTGAGTATTAATTTTTGCTCAAATGATATCATATGCTGGGGGCAAGAATTTTCTATTTTCGTTTCTTCACTCATTGTTTCACCGGGTTATTATTATATTAACGTTACTCAATATTATATCCCCGAGGAACCAGTAATGACGCACCTAAGGTTGTTTTTTTCTCTGTATTTAATCCACCATTTAAAAGAATTAGAAAAACGGAATGGAATAAAAAGATTGATAACTTATTTATATATTTCAGTCATTAAACAGTTGATATTTGAAACGGTAACAGCAATAAAAATCATGTTTGCTAACATTACGAACGGACTGCCAACTAATGATGGGTACCAGTAATGACGCACTGTAAATAAACCAGTAAAAACCACTTACAAGTACCTGATAATCGAAAAATTGCTTCAGTCTGGATTCTTTAAAGTTAACACTGTTCAACAAATTCAATTTTATTAACAACTTTTGAGATTTTCATTCACTTTAATAATAGTAACACAAAAGCAATGTGAATTTAATATTAATTGTTTATATTGTTCCCTTGATTGATAAAAATAGAATGTTATACATGTAGCTATGGGTTCTCTTATTCCTCTATTGAGGTACTGTGACAAGGACATAAAAAAGTGTCATGCCTCCTAAGCACGGTTTTGTCACAACAATATTTCAGATGCAGCCAATGACCACAATTTTCGAGTGTACACTGTCCCCAATTGGGAAACACTATGAAATTACAGTTCCTTAGTTCTTGAGGTAGGCCAGTAAGTTTGCATACGCAGCACGGTTCTTCATCTTCTATTACATCAGAGTCCATTGAATCATCAATACTTATGGGCCCTCCTCGCAAATTAAGTCCAGAAGTACCAGCACACGGCTCATCAACAACTGTTATTGTCTTTTTTGGAACTCTTTTTGACTTCACTTGTTTTGAGGATTTTGAAGGTTTAGCTAACTGTTTTCCTTTCTCATTTGATTTACTTTTCTGACTTTTCTGACTTGGTTTTCTGCTTACATTCTCCTTATGTTCTTTAATTTTTTCAATTGTATCATTCTCTGTAATTGCCTCCCCACTTACAACTTTGCTCAGATAGCGTCTTTGTTTAGTTCTTGGTTTCTTTTTGAATAGGTTTTTCTCTCGATCTTCAAAAAAAGTGTCATTCTTCTTCGAAACTGTTTTTTCTTGTGTTTCAATTATTGTTAAAGCATATTCATTTTCTTCTACATTGTTTATGTTAATTTCAATTTCTTCAACAGGTACATTTATATCTTTCTCAATTGGTTCAATTTCATGTACAGGTTCTCTATCTTCAGTTTCACATGTTTCTTCTATGGAATCTTCTTGAATGAACACTTGTGCTGGTGCAAAATTGGAACGATCAACCATGTGAGGATCATACGGGTAAATCCCAGTTTTTCTAAATGCACTTTGCAAATTGCTAGGTGAAAGTGCATGAAGATAACCCTTACAAGCCAGACCACATTTATTATAATGTGTTATTGGTTGTGAACAGTTTTGCCGCATAAATTTGTGGCACTCATTATTAAAAATCCTTTCAAAAGGTCCAAAGCATCCTACATCCATAGGTTGGAGAATGTGGCTTGTATGTGCAGGTAAGACAAACAAAATAATATTTTCTTTTCTTGCCCATTCAATTAGTTCCAATGAAATATGGGATTTATGTCCATCAAAAAGAATTAATACTGGAACATCAGATGTTCTGTGGGGTATTTTTTCAAAAGATGATTCTCCATGTATTTGCGGAAAATTTCTGTATTAGACCAGCCGCTTTCTGAAACATCACCGTCTGCACCTGTTGACTTATTTTCAAGAAGTTCTTGTCTCATCCTGTTACCAGGAAATACGAAAAACGGTGGCACACTGTGGCCTTGTGCATTTCCACACCCTAAGACTGTGACCAAGTGTTTGTCCCCTGAGGTAATAGCTGGTGGTGTAGACCCTGTAGCTGCAATAACATATGGAGACTTATGGTTAGTGCATATTCCTTTTTCATCAACATTGTAAATTCTTTCTGGTTTATCAAACAGATCATATTTTTCCGAAATTTTGTGAAGTTCAGAGTAATAGTTCTGTACATTGACCTCAGATGTAGCTTTTGCACGCTGCATTTCAAGACTTCTTGGTTTAATGATTTTTAAATCTGGCCAACGAGCCATGAAGTTTTTATACCACTTTGTTGATAATGGATGTTCACTGTCCCTTAATCCTTTGTAAATGGCATAATTTGTTGCAATATCTATTACTTCTGACCTGCTGTAACCATATCCCACTCTAGCCATGAGCTTCAAGTGATTAACAAGATGTGCTTCATCTTCTTCATTAAATAAAGGTGCGGGTCCGGACTTGACAGCTTCAGGATTTACATACCCACTCAGTCTATGTCGTAGAGTAGCTTCAGGTACTTCATATGTACGTGCCGCTGTCTGGATAGGAATGCCTTGTTCTTTTACTATGTGATATGCATTATTCAATTGTGATGGTGAATATTTTCTGTACTCTTTAGTAAATTTCTGAAAATAAAAAAAAAATAAAAATTATTTTTTTAATCTCATTTTAATTGTTACCTATAATTTTATTCAAATTTAATATATAATTGTTCAAAATTGAGGAAGCAGACGGCTACATACTTTTATTGACCAAAGTGGATATAGGACTGATAATCACTCAGGGAAAGGTAGGATGTTTTTGACCTTAATGAAATGGCGGAAATTACATTGTCTATAATATTTTTAGTAATAATTACCTTTCTGGGCGGAGTTTTAGGCATCTTTGTTGTAGTCAGACGACCTTCACCATAACGTTATGAACAGCAAATGTTGATGACGTCACGGCTTTTGTTTGGAAATATAAAACCGAAAACTAAATCGGTGCGTCATTTCTGGTCCGTGTCAAAACAGGTACCAGGAATAACCATCAAATGTGTATTACTATCAATTTAAAAAATGTTTCGTCAGTCCAAGAATAACATTGAGACAGTTAAATTTTTGACTTTGTAAGTTCTGTCAGCACACAGATCACAGAAATGATCTTTGTGCATGTAATGATGTATAATTTGTAGGATAGTTTTGTCAGTCCAAGGCGGTCTCACTAATTGGCGACAAGAAGAATAATTTAGCGACAAGAACACTATTTAGCGACAAGAAAACAAATTTAGCTACAATAAATTTTAATATTCTATCAATAAAAATAAATTTATAAAAAAGTCAATATCTATAGTAGTAAATTAAAGCATCACACATGTTTGAAACATAGATCTAATTGCTACATTTATTTGTGATATGTATTACAGCAAATATTACGTTTTTCCTGTCATATTATGATATAAATTTTTACTTGTGTTTTAGAACAATTATATATATTATCTTATAATTTTTTTAACACTCTCTTTGTCTAATATATAATAAACTGACTGCATGCAAAATGCATGATTTGTGCATCATTGTCCGGCAGACATAATTTGTGAGAAACAATGAACCAAGGATTGGTATAGTAAGATTTACTATACAAATCTGAAATCATTGAAATCAAACAAGAGGAAAACGTTATTAAAACGTAAATATTTTACATCATTTCATTTTGTGTATTGCCTCATTAAACGATATTTATCATGTTTATGCATGACTGAAGATTAAAGGTAATTAAAGACAACATATTTTTTTTTTTCAAAAAAGACAAATGGATTAGACACAATTTTTTTAACTTAGTAACGTCTTCTCATTTGATGTTTCACATTGTGTGTACTGTTATCTGCAATCTTTTATTCGGAGTTTGGTATTTTGGTGATTTTACTTTTTCATACAATGACTTTGCTTAAAACAGTACATACATTATCTTAAACATATTTCTTTATATTTAATAGAAACTAGACAATCCCTTTCTTTTTTACAAATGTTTAATTTCATCATCTATCAATATAATAAAAATAATGAAAATCACGTTATTACTGCCCATATATATAAAAAAAAAATGTCCTATTTGGAATAAGTTTAATAAGAATTATTTTAAGTTTTCTCGTCGCTAAATAGTCTTCTTGTCGTTTCTTGTCGCTTCTTGACGCTTCTTGTCGCTAATTAGTATGACCCGTCCAAGGAAAACATTGAGACCATTAAATTTTTAACTTTGTAAGTTCTGTCAGCCCACAGATCACAGAAATGATCTTTGGGCATGTAGGATAGTTTTGTCAGTCCAAAGAAAACATTGAGACCGTTAAATTTTTAACTTTTTAAGTTCTGTCGGCCGACAGATCACAGAAATGATCTATGTGCATGTAGGATAGTTTTGTCAGTCCACAGAAAAGATTGACAGTAAAATTTTTATCTTTGTAGGATAGTTCTGTCAGTCCACAGAAAAGAATTGATCGAAGTGATAGTGATGACTCCCCTGTAAAATCTAAATCGAACAGAAGACGTGGACTGGCAGCGAGACTGAAGACTAACAAAACTTTAGAAATCAAGGAAGTGTCAGATCATGCTACAGTCTATTCAACAAAAGTATCTAAGTTATTTGGAAGCTTTGAAGATACTTCTGGTTCCCTGTCTGTAAATTCTATGATGAAACAAGGTAGGATGATCATCTATAAACAATACCATGTAAATCTATGCTACTAAAATAACCAGGTCCACCATGGGTTATGGTGTACTTAAATTTAACACACTGTATCGGTACAGATGTAGTAAGAAAACCAGGACAGGTTCAAACAGAAAGATTTTGAATGCAGAGAAAACCATGCACCTTATAATCAGCATGACTTTATCAGATGACAATACCGATACTAAAAATCCAAGCTAAAAATAAGGCGTAGGTACTTTAATTCAGTCACGGACCCTTGGGTGTGTTTTAGTACATGTATATATATATATAAAATAAGGAGATGTGGTACGATTACCAATGAGACAATTATAAACAAGATTTCAAGTGAAGTGGATTTTTGCAACTATAGGTAACTGTTCCTCATTCACAGTGAACAAAACCCATGCCATATAGTCAGCTATAAATGGCTCTGACCTGACAAAATGTGAAACAATAAATGAAAAAAACAAATATGACAGCAACAAACTACAACCACTGAGTTTAGACAGGCACATATAGAATGTTACTATTGTGTGAGCCCTCAACTCTCAGCATAGCCTGGGACACTGGTGTAACAGCACAACATTAGACCAGTTCAGTTAATATGGTGTGTCATGGTATAAAACAGACCAAAAAAGTAGTGAAAACAATTGATATTAACTGAATAGGGGGAAAGAATGAGCATCTCATTCTGTACATGCAACTGCTGTCACACAATTCCATGTTCAGTAGAGAACTCTCTCTCGTTGAACTAACATTGGAATGTACATAAACCTGAGATTAGTCAGTATCATGGTAGATTCTTTTGAATAAAATCATTTGTGTTTACAATTTCCTTCTTAAAAATAACTTGATTTGAATTTTTTCATAATGAATACTGGTTAATTTGGTGATTCAACCTGAAATATCAATTTGTAATTCTTATCCATCATCGCCTGTTTGACAGTGAAACATAAAGCACCAGAAAAAGCGACTTTTAACTGAAATTGTTTGAAAATATGTTGATTGATTTCTCTTTTTCAGAGTCCTTCAAAAAGAAACAAGCAGAAACGTCTGTTGTGGAAGGAAATACCCAAGATGGAGTTATTCCTCTTCAGAATGGTGATGATATTTGTGAGGGCGATCATGATGTTATACCACTAGAACTGGAAGATGATGAGGATTTTCCTTCGTACGTTTTTTTTCTTCAAAAGTTAACGAGAATTCTTAACTAGCTGGGAGAAATTATTCATTTTGATTAAAACTTGTCCTTTTACACTCAAATGAACTTTCTTTGTATTTTTTCTCTCACTAAAAAAAAAAGAAAAAGGGATTGATCTTGATTTCTCAATTGTTTAAAGGGAAATCCCACAGCTCTGACATACCACAATGGCATGCATTGTTAGATGGAAATATTACCGGTCTGACATAGTTTCGAGAGTAATATTACAACTCTGACATTGTTAGGCGAAATACCACAGTGACATTGTTAGAGGGAAATATCTCAACACTGGCATAGTTTGGTTTTTTTTTGGGGTGGGGGGAGGGGATAACACAACTCTGACATTGTAAGAAAAATGCTACTTTCACATTGTTAGATGGAAATAGCACAGCTCTGACATGGTAACCGGAAATTCCCATTACAGACATTTTGGAAACTAGCCAACTTGCCATTTCCGGGATTGATAGACAGATAATTGTGTTAAAGTTTTTATGTATACACCTGATAGGAATTTGCTGAATCAGATATTTACACCCCCTTTAAAGTGCTCATGGTACAAAAGTGCATTTGGTTTTATATATGTTATCTAGGTATAACCTCACTGCAGTTTCCAATACCTATACTTATAAACATGATAAAGTAATTGTCAATTATCATCTGTTTTATTACAAAAAAAAGCTAACAGATTTGCATCAAACAATCTTGTAATGAAGTTGTAGTCTCAATCTTGCTTGCCAAGTGAACTATCTATCACATGGCTGACAATTATTTACTTAAAGGGGCATTAGCTACGAGATATATAAAAAATAAGATATTGATTTTTTTTTTGTTCAATCATTAATGAAAGTGAAATAGTGAAATAACAATTCGCTTTTAGCAGGCAATTTGGTTCAATTTTGTCAAAATAAGCTAAGAAATATGGCTGATGAATAATTCGACCTCATTGAATCGATATTCATGTGACCTTCAAATTAACCCTTTAGCTGGACATGGGTTATGCATGTATTCAGTAAATGAAAAGAGTGTGGCAATATTGAAAGTGAAACAAGGATGAACCATCTGGTTGACTGATTCGATCCACAAAAAATCATTCTTATACAGGTAAAAACGATGATAAACATATTTTTTAACCTACAGTATGAAATCAAACAGACCTAGAAAAATCCAATTGTACGTGGTCGCTATCTATTTATATTTATATTTATATTGGGTTATATGACCGTTGGTAGTCTTCGTGGTCATCTTGATGGTAAATTAGATGACATCTATACAAAAATACACACGAAATGTTGATACATAGTATCGAGTCCATGCATTGTTAATTGTTTGTTTTATACTTTTTGTAATTTGGTTATACATTTTAGTATGTTATTAATCAAATATGAGAATTTGAGTCAAATCGGTGATTATGAATTTGACAGCTTATGCCTCTTTAAAGGGTTCAATCTGAAAAAAAAATTGGAAAGAAAGAAGTTGAAGACTATTTGAAAAATTTCTCTCCATGATTTGGCAAGCTCTCCTAATTTTCTAAAGCTTAATACATGGTATTGATGTCTTCTTAAAGTATAGTGTGATAAACCGCTGAGACACAATGAAACAAAGTAATCGATTAAACTTTTTGTTTTAAAGAACACCAAAAATGGCAAAGACCACAGCTTACCTTGTCAAATCACCAACCCCTCCACCACCACCGTCACCACCAACTGGTTTAGCTATACAGCATAAGAAGAAAAGGATGTCAAAGGCTCTTAAAAATGCCATAAGGTTTGTATCTTAAATACAGCTTAATTCAATGAACTTTTAAAGTAATGGATACTAATAAAAATGCCTTTTTAAAAGATTTCATACACAAGTACCAAGAAAACCACAAGCAAGGGTCCAAAACTGTCATATATGCTAGTCTTTACCAATTAAAAATACAATTAACTGAAATAAAATTCCAGAATTAGGTCAAACTGAATTTGAAAATTAATCAAGATGGAGATTTCAATTCCTTTTTGTCAGAAATTGGAATGTTTGGTTATCAGTAAAATCCTGTTTGCCAGAACTGTTAACTAGGTATTGTATATTAATCCACAGGGCCTTAAGTTTTCTGTTTTAATGACACTTTGGATATCAGGAAAGGATCATTAATCATTTTTACCTAAAACATGACTTGAGACTATGTCATGTATGTAGATAAGTTCAGACAATTAAATTCATTATGTCAGCAAAGGCAATCCACAATTTAATTTTAGAAAAAAAAGACCAAAATTACATAAAAAATATTCTGGCCCATTGACTATAACCTCATTTTGGTGTTCTTAAAAATGTCAGAAGTCTTTTTGCCTGCCTTTAGCAAAGTAGAAAAAGTGAGACTTGGCGAGCTATTACCAGGGGTGTCAGATGCATCAACAATAAAAAAAGACCAAAATTACATAAAAAATATTCTGGCCCATTGACTATAACTTCATTTTGGTGTTCTTAAAAATGTCAGAAGTCTTTTTGCCTGCCTTAGCGAAGTAGAAAAAGTGAGACTTGGCGAGCTATTACCAGGGGTGTCAGATGCATCAACAATGTATTAGTCTGTGATTAGGTTAGTAAAAGGGGAACCACTAGTGGTAGGTCAAAGATGATTGGTACACAGTTGTATTATCATTGGCACATCTCATTTCCATGGAGATTATTTGGCCCTGCCCCCTCAGTCATGGTCTATTGACTTTGAAACTTTGCTTAGTTTACATTTTACATTTGAGATTAGGTCAGTTTAAGGGGAACCACTAGTGGTAAGTCAATGAGATTTTGTATCCCGTAACGTTGTATTAGCACATCTCATTTCCATGGCAATTATATGGCTCACCCCTCATTCATGTTTTTTTTTTACTTTGAAACTTTTGCATAGTTCACATGTGAAAGTTTGTGATAAGGGAAATTCAAGATGAACCACTAGCTAATGGTTAGTCAATGATATTGGTATGCAGGTGTATAAGCATTTGCATGTCTCATTTCTATGGAGATATAAATATGGTCTGGCCCCCTGATTATGGGCCACTTACTTTAAAACTTGTGCATAGTTTACTTGTTAAAAGTTTGTTTTTAGTCAGTTTAAAGGGAACCACTTATGATATGTCAATGCAAATGGTATTTGGCATGCAGTTGTATTAGCATTGGCATTTTTTATTTCCACCAAGATTATTTGACCCTGCACTTTCAGTCATGGTCAGGGTTTAAGCTAGGATTTTGAGGGCTTTAGTCACTTTTGCGCGAGATGAAAATCAACATTATTTTGGGTAACAGCAAGGGACCAAGGATGTATGTATATTACTAGCTTTACATCTTTGTCTGACTTTGAAGGACTTAGGCATAAATTTACTAGGCAGTAATTGCATGATTTGACTGATGTGGCACTTAAATATGAATATTAGGATATAAGATCTGAAAATCTAGTTCAAAATTTCACTTCAATTATATATAATTAGTTTCAGGGGACATTCCTGATCAACCAAAGTTCGGCCCCTTTTTTTAAAACCAGGACTCACAGTATAAATGAACTTGTTAAACTTTGTAAGACTATTAAACTGCATAATCATTATCCTTATAAAACGTTTAAATCGATATTTGGAATTCACTTCTATAAAGTTGGAACCAAGGATTTGTGTACAAATTGTTATTGGGACGATTCTAATAACTGTAAATTGTAAATTAATCGAGAATTGATCACGTTTACTTTCGATTTTCAAATGAAATGTAAACGGGAAGTGACAAGTAGATAATAAATTTAGAATGAATCCGGATTCATCTAAGGATGGTTTCGTGTTTAAAAAAAGGCAGGAAATTATAATTTTTTGAATTTAATTTGCTTAGTAAGAACTATATTTGTCTCTATCATTTATTTTGATACTAAATTGATTTCGTATTTTACGTTTTAGTGTATATAAATTCATAGGAATACCTTCACACATGTGCAGTATATCGTAAAGGAAGCACCTGTTTGACGCGTGAAAACATTTCTGAACGTTTTGAATAAAGTTCTATCTTTTTAATCGAAATTGAACGTTTTATATCAAAGATGACGAAAATATGATCATTTGACGAAACTATGACAAACGAACTGCAAATTGTGATAGTTTTAGAAATATTGAAATTAAAAAGCGAACTGTCCAGGGGGGAAACAATTTTGTCAAATGACGAAACTACGACAAATGAACAGCAAATTGTGCTGGTTGGCCTTGAGAAATATTGAAATTAAAATGCCGACTGACTGATTTAACAGGGGAAAATAATTATGATGGTCAATTATGAGGTTTATTAATAATTAACGGATTAGTGACCCATCAGATGCCGATGGCGATAAGCAGATTAACTGTAATCACAACTTCATAACACCTGTTGTAAATGTTAATTAGCTGATCGTCATAAACTTGTCAGAAACATGAAGACAGTAGAATTATAGTATTTTCATGCGAAAATATTTTTACACTTTCCGAATTAAAGTGACGAAATTGATTTGAAATACCTTCGTCATTTTGAAAACAGTTTTGTAAATGACAAAAGTGATGAGCGCTAGCAAAATCACTGGTCATGGTTCATTGACATTGAAAGTTTAGCATAGTTTGCATAATAAAGTATTGCCATTTTAAATTCACTATTTTCATTATACTATCAAAATTACAAAAAGGTGAGACATATCTCTGTGTCATCAGTTATTTATACTGAAGGGAGGTTGTCTCGTGTAAATCTTTCCTGTTTCTTTCTGACTTTTTTATCAGAAGTCAAAAATGCTATTTTGTTATTTAGGTCATATTTTAGGTAAATTAAAATATATTTATGTTTACAGAAACATATGTGATGCCAAGGAACACTTAATAACAGAAGAAAGGGTACGAGGACCAGATGACCAGGAAGTAGTTTGTTTAGAAGACGATAATGGTGAAGATACTTTGACTGTCAGAATTAAATATGGTTCCAAAACATACAGATATCCAATGAAAAAGGTAGGAAATTACAGTATGAAAATCCTTGTTTGTTAAAGGAAAATGATATTTCTAATAAACAATGAAATATTTCGTTTGACCTTTTACTATATAGTGTTCCCCATTTCTGTCATGCAGTAATACTAAAATCAATCAAATGTTCAGACTTTTCCTCAGATGCACACAGATCTAGATTTTTGGTACATTAGTGTATAATGATTACTTCCAAATCCAATTTGCTTTTGTTGGCAGTATGCCATAAAAAAACAGGTCATGGAGATCCTTGCAGTACTTGGAAACAATTTTATAAAGTTTAAGTCATCAGTGTCCTGACTTGGTTGCAAGTATTGTTGCTAGACATTTTCTTTTGTTATCTCAACAGCTTTTCATTTCAAATATATTACTATATCTCATCCATTGATTATGAAGTCTGTTTTGGTTGATATACAGAGAATGAGTAAGAAATCGGCCATTTGTTACAGGGTGAATTGTTTAAAAGAGTGATAATGGAAGTTGCCAGTAAACTGGATGTTAACAGTAACAAAATACTATTTTTGTTAAATGATAGAACAGTCCATTCCCATGATTCACCAAAGAGTTTGGGATTACAGGTTGCAGATATTTTATGTAAGTTTTAATTTTATTTTAATGATATTGTGTTTAAAGATGTGTAAAGGTAATTTAGTCTATAACATTTCATTAATGTATTCCTCAAACTTCATTTTATTAAAATTCCATATGATTCGAAAGCATCTACTATGAAGAATTGTATGATGAAATGGTCAAAATGTTACAACTTATCAATGTCAAGTTGATATGAAGTCATTATATTCAGTAGCACTGGAGATCTAAGCGACAAACATATTAACTTCACTCAGCATTTGGAACAAATAAAAGTATTGGCAAACAGAAAGTAGGTGTCTAACAGATCCAAAAGTACCCACATATTGATACTACTGTCAAGCTTCTGTCTATTTAAGTATTTCTGTTTAGCAGTACATTGTACCTGGTAAAAGTATGATGAATATAATTGTTGGTACTAAAGAAAGATAAGACAGACAAGGTAAATGCAATATATATCAGAACACAAGATTGTTCAAACCACTAATTCAAAAATTACTATCGCAACATATAAGGGATACAATATCTTTCTAGATAATTTCCTGAATTTTTTTCTGGTTGAGAAAACATATGTATATCAATTGTTTATATTTATTTGAATAGATTGTCATGTAAGTAAAGAAGATAGATCAATTCTAGATGACAGTTCATGCACATTTGAATTGACTGATAGCATACAGTTATTTGTTCAGAGTAAAATGAGTAAACACAAAGAAGAATACACAATATCAAAGGTATGGTCAGTTATTATAAACTATCAAAGGTATTGTCAATTATTATAAACTATCAAAGGTATGGTCAGTTATTATAAACTATCAAAGTTAGTGTCAGTTATTATAAACTAACAAAGGTAGTGTCAGTTATTATAAACTATCAAAGGTATGGTCAGTTATTATAAACTATCAAAGTTAGTGTCAGTTATTATAAACTATCAAAGGTAGTGTCTGTTATTATGAACTATCAAAGGTATGGTCAGTTATTATAAACTATCAAAGTTAGTGTCAGTTATTATAAACTATCAAAGGTATTGTCAACTATTATAAACTATCAAAGGTATGGTCAGTTATTATAAACTATCAAAGGTATTGTCAACTATTATAAACTATCAAAGGTATGGTCAATTATTATAAACTATCAAAGGTATTGTCAACTATTATAAACTATCAAAGGTATAGTCAGTTATTATGAACTATCAAAGGTAGTGTCAGTTATTATAAACTATCAAAGTTAGTGTCAATTATTATAAACTATCAAAGGTATGGTCAGTTATTATAAACTATCAAAGGTAGTGTCAGTTATTATAAACTATCAAAGGTGTTGTCAATTATTATAAACTATCAAAGGTATGGTCAGTTATTATAAACTATCAAAGTTAGTGTCAGTTATTATAAACTATCAAAGGTATTGTCAGTTATTATGAACTATCAAAGGTAAACTATCAAAGGTATTGTCAATTATTATAAACTATCAAAGGTATAGTCAGTTATTATAAACTATCAAAGGTATTGTCAGTTATTATGAACTATCAAAGGTAGTGTCAGTTATTATAAACTATCAAAGGTATAGTCAGTTATTATAAACTATCAAAGGTATTGTCAGTTATTATAATTTATCAAAGGTAGTGTCAGTTATTATAAACTATCAAAGGTATTGTCAGTTATTATGAACTATCAAAGGTAGTGTCAGTTATTATAAACTATCAAAGGTAGTGTCAGTTATTATAAACTATCAAAGGTATTGTCAGTTATTATAATTTATCAAAGGTAGTGTCAGTTATTATAAACTATCAAAGGTATTGTCAGTTATTATAAACTTTCAACGGTAGTGTCAGTTATTATAAACTATCAAAGGTATTGTCAATTTTTATAAACTTTCAAAGGTATGGTCAGTTATTATAAACTATCAAAGTTAGTGTCAGTTATTATAAACTATCAAAGGTAGTGTCAGTTATTATAAACTATCAAAGGTATGGTCAGTTATTATAAACTATCAAAGTTAGTGTCAGTTATTATAAACTATCAAAGGTATTGTCAGTTATTATAAACTATCAAAGTTAGTGTCAGTTATTATAAACTATCAAAGGTAGTGGTATGGTCAGTTATTATAAACTATCAAAGTTAGTGTCAGTTATTATAAACTATCAAAGGTAGTGTCAGTTATTATAAACTATCAAAGGTATGGTCAGTTATTATAAACTATCAAAGGTATTGTCAGTTATTATAAACTATCAAAGGTATTGTCAGTTATTATAAACTATCAAAGGTATTGTCAGTTATTATAAACTATCTGCTGTCTACTTGACACAGCTATGGATGGAAGGTTTATAATGATATTCTCATTGCAAGAGTTTCTTGCTCCCTAAACTCCTGAATAATATATTTTGAATGTGGAGTTTACATTATTCAAAATCTTTGAATTTGAATCAGCTGAGTTTTTGGTCACATTTGATGTGTATAAAATGTGAAATAATTAGATTAGTAAAAGAAACCTTGATTATGTGCATAATTCATGACAGGACCTTGTTAGTAAAATAGAATTACCTTGATTAATTCAAGGATTATAAAATGAAATAATCAGCAAATAAAATAAGCGTATTTATTTATTTATGTTTATGGCATTTATTACAATACATTGACACATGTTTATGGCATTTATTACAATACATTGACACATGTTTATGGCATTTATTACAATACATTGACACATGTTTATGGAAATGTCAATCAGAATAAGACTTTCTATTGTAAAAATATATTACAGTATATATCGGATTACAAATGTGTCAAGTTTTGTGATTGGATAACAACACAGATATGTCAGTATATATTCAGGAAACTGCCGGGGTATATATTTCGTTTTTTTACCCCAATTGGAACCTCAACAACGTCACGTCAATGTGACATAGTCTTTAGCTATAGAGAACACTTAAATAACGTCAGAGGCTCACAGAGGGAAAATAATGACGTGTATCCGTCAATAATACGTTTTTGATTTAAAATCACACAATTTACACATTAAAATACTTAATTAATGTCTTAAAGTGTTATTACAAATTATTGCAAACACGATAGAATTATTTTCACAGCAAATTAAAAAATCCTTCACGTATGCGGCAAATATATATACTGCATGGTGAATGTTTAACAAATATCTGGTACTGGAAAAAATATTAAGGCAGGGGTAATCCGTAATATATGTGTAATTCAGGTTTCAGACAGGGTATATAATATGACATTCCCGGCTTAAGGTTTATATCCCCTTCGACTTCGGCTCAGGGAATATAAACTCTAAGCCAGGAATGTGTCATTATATACCTTGTCTGAGACCTGAATAACATATAATATTTAGTTCAATGGATCCCAATTTTAAAAATCAAAATGTATAATGTTTCTTCCAATGTTGTTTAGATTTTTACCTACTTCAATGTAGAATTTACTTTTAAAATAATCAGAAACATGTTGACGGATCAAATTGTGCTTCTTTCAGAACCAGCCTTTAGATGCCATTCTAAGAAAGTATTCCATAAAGACAAACACTGACATTACAAAACTGCGATTTCAATTTGATGGTGAAGACTTATCAGTGGACGATACTCCCAATGATTTAGATTTAGAAGATGGCTATTGTTTGGATATCATACATTTGACTTGAGATTCTCGGAGCTATATATATATTATCTCAGGAAAAACTAGGCTAGAGGCTGTTCATCAAAACTAATCGTATTTACCTTTTCCAGTTGGAATCAAGAATAAAATACTTATTTGTGAAAACTGATCTAATTTAGGAGATAATTCAACATTTAAAATTCATTTGAAAAGAGTGCAATTTTCCCTTCATAAAACATGCGTCAATTATTGATGCATTACTTAAAATGGAAGAAGGAATTAAATGGAAAAAGATTGAAGTAATTGTTGTCACTATATTGGATGAATGTATACTTCACACTTGTCTCTAGTTATGTTAACAGCTAAAGGATAGCCATATATGACAATGATTGACAGGCTTTCTAATCAAATGTTAGGATGTTTAATGTGATAGTTTAATCTTTTCCAAATCAAATGTACATGTATGTTAGTGCTTGTAAATTGAACTGCAAATAAAATATATAGTTAGTAAAATATTATTTTCTAATCAAATATTCAGATGATCATTAAAGAGGATATTAATTATATTTTCAATCAAATGTACAGATATTCTTGTATATTACATTGAAACTGTTAGAATTGCAAGTACAAAAAGCTGTGCATCCATTTATTCTACCGGTATGATTTAAATCACATATCTAAAGCATAATTTGTGTTTTGTTTGTCATGTCTTTGGTATATATTGTTAAAAACAATGTAAAGCAGGATATACAAGTTCTTTGTATATATATACATACAGCCTTCAGGGTTGTCAACAATTTAATGGAAATTGATGCAAAAATGTAATATTTAACATCAATCTAGTTTATATTAGACCAAAAAATTAGTATTCATTTAAACTTATTGAAAAAATAAAAGAAAATATCACTATTGATGCTCTTCTATTATTATCAAAATATTTGTGTGTTGAATATGAAATATTCCTATGTATTGTTGAACAATAAGTCGCGCCTTGACGGAGTCCAAAAGAGAGACATAGGTATGCTGTTGTCGGCAGTGGCAGCAGCATCAACAATGTATTAGTTTGTGATTAGGTATAGTTTATGGTGAACCACTAGTGGTAGGTCAATGATATTTGTTATGCAGTTGTATTAGCATTGGCACATCTCATTACCATGGAGATTATTTGGCCCCGCCCCCTGAGTCATGGTCTAATGACGTTGAAACTTTGCTTCGTTTACATGTATTAGTTTGTGATTAGGTCAGTTTATGGGGAACCACTAGAGGTAGGTCAATGAAATTTGGTATGCAGCTGTATAAGCATTGGCATATCTCATTTCCATGGAGATTATTTTGCCATACCCCCTCAGTCATGGTCTATTGACTTTGAAACTTTTGCTTAGTTTTCATGTATTAGTTTGTGATAAGGTCAAGTTTATGGTGAACCACTAGTGGTAGGTCAATGATATTTGGTATGCAGTTGTATTAGCATTGGCACATCTCATTACCATGGAGATTATTTGGCCTCACCCCTGAGTCATGGTCTATTGACTTTGAAACTTTGCTTAGTTTACATGTATTACTTTGTGATTAGATCATTTTAAGATGGAACCGCTAAAGTTTAGTAAATGATATTTGGTATGCAAATTTATTGGCATTTGCAAGTCTCATTTCCATGGATAATATAAAGCCTCACCCCCATCATGGTTGTTGACTTTGAAACGTTTACATAGTTTACAAGTTAATGTTTGTGTTTAGGTTTGTTTAAAGGGAACGACTTATGATAAGTCAATGGTATTTGATATGCAGTTGTATTAGCATTGGCACATCTCATTTCCAGGGAGATTGTTTAGCCATGTACCTTCAGTCATGATTCATTGACTTTGAATATTTGCATAACTTACATGTTAAAGTATTGCTATTTTAATTTCAACATTTGCATTATCAAAATTACAAAAAGGCGAGACATATCTCTGTATTTATGTTTTTGAGCAAGTGATGGTTAATTTGTATTTATACAAAGCTGTCATTGTTTTGTTGATTATAACATTAAGTGGATAAATGATTTAGTTTTATGCGTGAATTAGTGATACCATTTATAAATAAGGATTTTAAAATTGATGTAGAGAATAAATTCAGAGATCGTGTGTGCAATTTTTTATTAAAGAAAGGTTTAAAAAAATAACTTACATTTTGTATAACCTGCAGATTTAAAAATGTTTACATTCATTTATCATTGTTATTGTTGAATATTAGACAAATATGTGAGATTAATTATTACGATTCAGGAAATGCTGCAGACAAATGATGCTTTCAATATTTAGAATATAACATACCTGTCAACTGACGTGTATTCTGCAGGTGACACACTTAAATTTCACCTCTCACCCAGGACTTTTTAAATACCTGATGTGTCGTTAAATAACCTGGGAATTTGGAAAATGACACGTTTTCTTCCGGATTCTTGAGCCTTCAGACTTTGTAAGTATGAAATGCTAGATTTCATAAGTAATTTTCCTTCGAAATACCGGCAAATTCGTAATTCTTCGTGGACAGGAAGTTCAACTAACTGTGTTAAGGTTCATCAAAAGGAATTGAAAAATATGGCTGTGTTTACACCACAAAATCTTCTCTGAGTACAGACAAACCAATGCATCTAGGAAAGTTTTAAGGCATGGCTGGACCTAGATATATAGAAGTTATATGTAGTTTATGTTTCAGAAAATTAAAAACTTAATTGGATTTTGCTGTGCTTTTTTTTCCAGTCTTCAGAAGATAGGAAAATAAACTAACACATGAGTTTCATTTGATATGGTAAACTCTGTTACACAGTTTAAATCACCTATTGTTTGTAGATGTCAATTGTCCATCTATTGTCCATTTAAATCAATACAACTCACAACATTTATTATATGAAGGGAGCTTCTCAAACCTCTTTCTCAACTTAGTTTATATTGGCACCTTCTGCAGGAAGGAAAAAAAAAATGAATAGCAAAATCCAGTGAAGTTTTTAATATTCTGAAACTTAAAATGCATTTACATTTTATATATCTAGGTCCAGCCTAGCTCCAAAACTTTTCCAGATGCACAGGTTTGTCTGTACTTTTAAGTTATATATTCTAATATCAACTACTTTAAATTAGAATATTAAGTAAAGCTGTATAGTGATGCTGTAAAGCATATAATGAAACATGTGGCCTGTGGGTTGATTTAAATTTAAATCTGTGAATGAAACAATAAGAGGGGTATGGCTTGGCTTGAATTGATATAGTATAATGAATTAATAAATCAATGGTTTATAAATGCAATGAAAAAATAAAATTACAGTTTTTAAATTATTTTCAGTTAATACTTATTTATGTGAACATGTTTTCGAAACTGTTCAATTTAAAGTATAAAAAATGTCCCCTAAATACTTAAATTCACATGGAAAAACTTCATACGGGTTATGACCTTAGATTTTCTTCTTCAATGCAGGTCATGACCTGCTTTTTCATTTTCATATGTTGACAGGTATGATATAAGTTTTTATTTTTTTGAAATCTCTCCAGTCGCAATTTTCTCCATGATAAAAACATCGCTAATATATATGAATTTTCAGTATATAGAGATGGTTATCTTGATGTGATGACTGTATTAATTATTTTTATGATTTTTAGCTCACCTGGCCCAAAGGGCCAAGTGAGCTTTTCTCATCACTTTGCGTCCGTCGTCCGTCGTCGTCGTCGTCCGGCATCGTCTGTTAACTTTTACCAACCAAGATGGCCGCCATGGCTAAAAATAGAACATGGGGTAAAATGTAGATTTTGGCTTATATCTCTGAAACCAAAGCATTTAGAGCAAATCTGACATGGGATAAAATTGTTTATCAGGTCAAGATCTATCTGCCCTGAAATTTTCAGATGAATCTGACAACCCGTTGTTGGGTTGCTGCCCCTGAATTGGTAATTTTAAGGAAATTTTGCCGTTTTTGGTTATTATCTTGAATATTATTATAGATAGAGATAAACTGTAAACAGCAATAATGTTCAGCAGAGTAAGATCTACAATTAAGTCAACTTGACCAAAATGGTCAGTTGACCCCTTAAGGAGTTATTGCCCTTTATAATCAATTTTTAACCATTTTTCGTAAATTTTTGTTATCTTTTACAAAAATCTTCTCCTCTGAAACTACTAAGACAAATTTAACCAAACTTTTACACAATCATCATTAGGGTATATAGTTTAAAAAATGTGTCCGATGACCCCGCCCACAAACCAAGATGGCCGACATGGCTAAAAATAGAACATAGGGGTAAAATGTAGATTTTGGCTTATATCTCTGAAACCAAAGCATTTAGAGTAAATCTGACATAGGGTAAAACTGATTATCAGGTCAAGATCTATCTGGCCTGAAATTTTCAGACCAATCAGGCAACACGTTGTTGGGTTGCTGCCCCTGAATTGGTAATTTTAAGAAAATTTTGCAGCTTTTGGTTATTATCTTGAATATTATTATAGATAGAGATAAACTGTAAACAGCAATAATGTACAGCAAAGTAAGATCTACAAATAAGTCAACATGACCAAAATTGTCAATTGACCCCTTAAGGAGTTATTGCCATTTATAGTAAATTTTTTACAATTTTTTCATAAATTTTGTAAATTTTTGTAAATTTTTACAAAATATTTTCCACTGTAACTACTGGGCCAAGTTCATTATAGATAGAGATAATTGTAAGCAGCAAGAATGTTCAGTAAAGTAAGATCTACAAACACATCACCATCACCAAAACACAATTTTGTCATGAATCCATCTTTGTCCTTTGTTTAATATGCACATATACCAAGGTGAGCGACACAGGCTCTTTAGAGCCTCTAGTTTTATTTGCTCTGTAGTTATCTTTCCTATCACTTTATGTTGACCTCATTTTCATGATTTGTTTGTCAACAGTAAGGTTCCATCTTGAGGTCAGCTCAACAATTATCAAAAAAACATTCAATTATATTTGTTCATTGATGTATTATAAAAATGTATAAGTGCAATTGACAGCTTTCACTTGACCTTGATGACATTCATAGTTCATAGTAAAACACTGTTTTTATGAGGTCATTGCTCAGTTAAACAGAATTTATAAATGCAAGTAATATGTCAACTGTATTTGGTATAAATATAATAATGGCATTACACTTGTCTGTCTGGCAGGGTTCAGTTAATGATGACCTCATTTTCATGACTCCATTGATCAGTTTTGCTTTAATTTTTCTATAAACATTGAAATTTCCCATATATTATTTTTTGCTTATTTACTGATAACTTAGAATGTGCAAAACTATCCCCAGTGTGAATGGTTTGTAGAAATCATTTATAATGATGAAAAAGGAAAACTTATCCTTGATGCCCAAGTTCAACCCCTGATCAATGAGTTAAAGCATTGAAATGGCAAAAATAGGAACCCAGGAAAATATCCATGTTTACAGTAAATTGTTGTCTTATCTATAGTAAGACCATGATCTCAAAGATTTTACAGTAAAGTGTTGTGTTATCTATAGTAAGACCATGGTCTCAAAGATCAACATAATATTCATCCATAATCATTTATGCTTTCAAGGTATTTCTGTGTGTCCACTTTAGTTGAAGAACATTTGCTGTTGCCATGGCCACACATTTTTTGATTTTATTATTAAGTCTCCCAAACGAAGTTTGGGAAGACTTATTGTTTTTGCTCAGTTCTTATTATTATTATTATTATTCTTCCTCTTCCGCCGCTTTTAAATTTGAACTTGTCCGCACCCGTTCTCCAAAACCGCTCATCAGATTAACTTGGGGTTTCACAATATGTTAGACTAACATGTCTAGTGGTGCAATCAGGGTTTTGTTTGTGCAATGGGGTTTATTAAGGGGTACTTTGAGGGGCAAAAAGAAAAGAGGGTTTTACTATAGAACCCTATG